AAGGCAGGGAAAGGGAAATGAAGAGAAAGAGAAAGCTTGGATCATAGGTGTGGCAATCCAGGGGGAGTAGAATTCAAGACAGAGAGAAAGAAGAGATATTATCATCAGCCTTTCAGACAGTGTGATTCAAGCCATATAAGGTTTCATAAGTCAAAACCAGCACTTTGTATTGTGTCCAGAAAGAAATGAGTAGCCAATGAAGCTGTTTGAACATTGAGTAATAACCTGCCTATTCATATTCATCTTATGAGCAATGTCCTCCATTACACATGTAATTCATCCCTCAATGAATACTGAAATATTTCCCTGTGTTCTTTCCTTTGGTAAATTTCTGAAAATATATGCTGAAGTTAGCTTCCTACATGGAGCTTTTTGGGGAAAGAGATTTATGAATGCCTTTAGGATGAGGGGGTTATTTTCTTCTCTTTCATAATCCAAGTTCACAAAGGAGTGTATAATTGAAAATGTAATATAATAAACTCATAAAGCCCTAGTTAAAACATAAAGATTTTCTCCAAAAGAAAAATCCATGCAACTGAAATGCAAAATTGAAGCAAGAATCATAAAGGCAGTTTGTGCAAAATGCCAAACTAAATTATATTCTATATCCGTATACAATGTGGTGAAGGGTTAAACACTATGACTGCAACCTTTGCCCGTTTAAAAGTTGTACACCCCAAATGTTGTTGTTGTTGTGCCTTCAATTCATTTCCAACTTATGGCAACCTTAAGGCGAACCTATCATGGGGTTCTCTTGGCAAATTTCTTCAGAGGGGGGTTGCCATTGCCATCCTCTGAGGCTGAGAGAGTGTAACTTGTCCAAGGCTACCCAGTGGGTTTCACAGTTCAGCAGGGATTTGAACCCTGGTGTCTAGAGTCAAAGTCCAAAACACAAACCACTATACCTCAGGAAAGCTGAAGCATTTGCTGGTTTGAATGTTGCACAACTTTCTTTCTATTATGAAAAATGTGCTACTTTCAGGGAAGAGAGAAGCTGCATGTTTTTCTAGACAAGCTGCACAGCATCCAGCTTCCCATCATTGTGATTCCTGAGTGTCCTAAAGTTACAGGACAAA